CGGCTGCTGTTGCCACCACTATGAAACAGCAGCTATAACGGCAGCTATGGCGGCAACAGATCGAAATATAAAACGCCAATGACTGTATACTGGAAAACCCTTAAGAAAAAAAAACAACCAAAAAAGAGGGTAAAGGCGAAAGGAAAATTTTTATATTTGTACAAAATAAAGAAATATAAAAAAAACGAATAGAAATCTGCAAATCCCGCAATTCTCTGCTGGTAATGTTGTTTACTTCATTGCACACTATCTTGCCGTTCTTTTTATTGCAGCCAAGTCATGCAGCTGTTCCCACTGTTTTTGTTGTTATTGCTATTATTATTATTATTATTATTATACAAACTAACTCTGAAATGTTTCCACAACTAATTATTCGATAATTTTGATTTCGGTGTTAGTGTTCTTCTTTTGATTTGGAAAAGAGCGTTTTAAGTTGTATTAACGGCGCTTTAGTGTAGATTTTTTCGTTTTTGTTTTTTATGCTTACATATTTTCACTTCATTGTTGCGAAAGTGTTTTTAATTGATATACATATGGGTCATTCCATACAATATTTACACATCAGTGTTTTACTATAATATACTATATACTATATTTTATACTAAAGTTTATGTACGCAGGTATGAAAAAACTCGTAGCTTCTACAGTTTTTGTGTTTCTATTCTCAAATTCTTACAGCGTACACCATAATGTTTGACAACTATTCAAAACTATTAAAAAAATAACAATCAAAGTTATCAAAAGTTACTATAAATTTTAATTTGTCCATTAAATCAAATCATAAATAAATTTTGTTTTTTTATTTGGTCGTTGAATCAAGCTTTAAATCAAATATATTTCTCCTCTTTCGTAACATTTAAGACTTAGAGATTAGATTAGCAAATGACTAAGAAGAACTTAATTTCTCACCTTGGTAGCTGCCATCAATCGATATTAGACTATCCTTCCTTGCAAGCATTGACTTCTCTCAACCTTTTTTACTAATAGCCCAATCAAAAATAAATTGAGTTCATCGCAAAGGTTCAAATAATTTCGTTGTCGACGATAACAAGCGTATATACGAACATATTCGCTGGCATTTTACAACAGTCAACAAAAAAGCTCTACTATCTTGCGGTAGGCAGTTATAAGTTTTAAAAAGCAACAAACTAAAAAGTTTACAACAATGAATATAAAAAACTGCTTTTAAATTAGCACAGAAAACTAGGCAGAACCTTTCTGTAACTTACTTTCCTTCCATTCAATCTATGGCCATGCCTTTCTCTATGACGCTTGACTGTTGTTCAGCGTGCTAGTGGAAAGCAAATCGCTTTAAATTTTAACTGAATTTTTAGTGCGAAATTTGTATTCTTCTGAGAAATTGTTATTAATTGAATTCTGCTTTGGCGGAGATACGCGCGTTTATGGGAAAATAAGATTCTGCCAACCGACAAATCGTAGAAACCAATAGCAAAACGAAACTGCAGCAATATTCACTGGTTTCGACATGCCTTTCGAAAGCGAATTAAAGCTTAGGTTACTATTAGTAATTAAAACATGTATTTAAGCAAGACGGGATTCCATTGAGTTAAGAAAGGTTTGAAAAGTGATAAACAAAAGCTATTGCCTTGTCTGGTTTGGGGACGACAAGTTTTGAAGAATCGATTGCGTGTCTCCTTTTTCTGTTTGTAACAAGCAACCTAGTTTTCCCAATTTGCGCTATTTGAAAGATTTTTGCTTTTCGTCGTATTTTCTGAGCGAGGACACTGTTATAAGTCATGGTTCTGTATCGGCTTTACTCCTAACGGCGATTGTATTTTAATGAGAAGCTATTTTTCATGGCAGAAATACCGTCGGAGGTTTGCCACCGCCTGCTATTAGAAAAAACGTTTTATTGAAGTGAAACTTCTTTAGCGGCGGTTGATTGGTTTGGATTAAATTGGAAAATTCAACGGAAATTGCACTTGGAAATGGTGCAACGGAAACGGTTGGGGCTGAAGCAAGTGCTTCTTGAGTGCTAATGAAAGGTTAAAGAATAACACTTAGAAAAAGACCAATACAAGAACTAAAGTAAAGGTGAGTTCGTACTTAGGTAAACAAAAGGATAAAGACAAAAGAAAAAATAGAAACAAAAACAAAGGTGCGTAAAGATAAAGGCAAAAATGAAGACCAATGCAAATTTAAACTAATTATTTATATAACGGCAAAGGTGAGGGGGAATATGTGGATGAAGAAAATAATAAAATTAAAGTAAAAACAAAGGAGAGTAAAAATAAAGAAAAAGATGAGGATATAAGTAAAGATGAAGATAGAGGAAGAAATATTAAAATAAAGGTAATTATAAAGAAAATGATATAGACACAGACTCAATCTGGGGACTATTTCGGGATTTTAGTTATTTTCGGGATTCTCGGGACTTACCGATATAATAATCGATGTTTTTATCGGTTTTGTTATGAATATTTTTAGTAGATTTTGTTATCGAAATTTGTATCGATATTATTATCAATTTTGCATAGATATTTTCCGAACTTATCGATGTAGATAATTATCGAAATTTTTATCGATTTTTTTGTTCGTTTCGTTATCGATATTTTGATCTATTTCGTTATCGACATTTATTTCGATTTTGTTATCAATATTTTTATCGATTTTCTAATGAAATTTTGTTGTCGATTTTATATCGATATTTTTATCGATTTTGTTATCGATATTTTTATCGATTATCCAATCGATTTTTCTACCAATATTATTATCGATTTTGCTATCGGATTTTTTTATCGAATTTGTCATCGATTTAGTTATAGATATTTTATCGATTTTGTTATCGATTTAGTATAAAGATAAAAATGAAGACAAAGGAAAACAGAATAACAAAAATGTAATTAGAACGAACAGGGGTAGAGGTAGGGATCTAGATAGAAAAAAGACAAAAAATATAACCTTAAGCAAAAGCAGATGTACATATGTATATTGGTTATGAGACAAAGTAGATATATAACGTAAGTTTCACTTTTCCAGTGTGGCTCAGGCGCACTTACTTTATTTAATTTTTGATGTTAGTCGGAAGATGGGCTCGATATTGGGTTCTGCAGAATGGTCGTGTGCCCCTCTAATTACTACACCTTAGCGGTCGCCACTTATTACTTCTTCTTCTTCTTCTTCTTCCTAATTGGCGCTGTAACCGCCTAGGCAATTTTGGCCGAGTCTAAAACAGCGCGCCAGTCATTTCTCTTCTGTGCTAACTGACGCCAGTTGGAAATGCCAAGTGAAGCCAAGCCTTTCTCCACCTGGTCTTTTCGACGCAGAGGAGGCCTACCTCTTACTCTGTTACCAGTACCGCGGGCCGCGTTGAATACTTTGCTTCTATCTAATCCCGAGAAGGCAGAATAGGAGTAGGCGGGTGGCGAATAAATTGGCCGTCTGTTGTGTTTGCAGCTTTTCGACGTTAAGCTTTCCTTGCATTGTTGGGCGCACACTGTTTGGTGCACAGGAGCGGTGCGTATCTTGGCTGCAACATGATAGTGGTCCGAGTCGATGTTTGGCCCTCGACGTGTACATACGTCTAAAATGCAGAGAGCATGCCTTCCGTCTTTCACAACATGATCGACTTGGGTTCTTTTTTCCGATCTGGAGACAGCCATGTAGCTTGGTGGATTTTCCTATGCTAGAACCTAGTACTAAATATTTCCATGTTTCGGGCCCGGCAAGGTCAATCAACTTCAATCCGTTATCGGATGTTTCTTCGTGGAGGCTGAGTTTTCCGATATTGGCGCCAAAGTTCCCTTCTTTGCCCACCTGGCATTAAAATCGCCAAGCACGATTCGAGGCAGAGCTCATAGGTTCTCTTCAAGCGCTCATAGAAGAGATCTTAGGATGCCACGTCTTACATCGAGGCATGGGCGCAGATAAGCGAAATATTGAAGAATCTCGCTTTGATGAGGATTGTGGCTAGACGTTTGACTACCGGGATGAAATCCAGTACTCGGCGACAGAGTCTCTCTACCACCACAAATTCCACATGGAATTTGCGCTCCTTTATGTGGCAACTATAGTCGACGTCGCAAGATTCACGCTTACCTTTCCTTGCTCCATCCATTGTCTTCCCGAGGACATCAACCAGCCGGGAAGAGGCACCTTTCCCATTAAGGGTCCGGATATTCCAGGTGTATACCCTCAAATCATACTCCTTAATACGTTTTTCCGCGGTCGCCATCAGAAAAAGGGGGGGGGGGGGGTCGACTCTGAGGCTGCTTTTTGTTTTTCATTGGGCGGGGTTTTAACGTGGCGGGACGCAAACCCAGCGCGCGCGAAGTTTTACGCCTTCTAACTTTAGCTCGCTCCCAAATGGGAGTTTGATCCCTACCCAGAGGATACGTGGATATAAATATCCGGACGTAGTGAGCTGAATCATATGCACAAGAATTACTTCTCGCCACTCCCAGGTGAATTGCAGTCAAAAAAATTCCACTTCTGCGCACGGAACCATCCTCCTATTTACTTTAATTTAAATTACTTGACATGGTCTGCATTTTTAAGAAAAAGCATTTGCTTAGGTTTTATGCATACAGCCCAATGTTTTGCATTTTAAGATTATACAGATATGTACGTCTCATCTTCGAGAATATTCGTATAAGGCTGACGGTTATTCGGTATTATTTATTAATAAAAATAAAAAGAATAATATGTGAATCAAATGAAAAGTAGTTTTAAAATCCCCAACTCAGAGATATTAAGACGTATATGTATTTAATTAATTTTTAAATTTAAAAAGTATGTTTATACACTCCGATCAAAGCTCGGGAATTCTGGTACTAAGTACATAGCAATTATAAAACAATCATACCGGGTTTCCCTTACCACATCTGCACGGCCATCACAGTTGTATTACGAGTTTGTGGCTTAAGTCTTTCGTTTACGTGTGAAAATTCCACACAAATGCTCAATTTATAAACCATAATAAAAATTTTCTTAAACCTTCCGTTTCTTATTCCTTTCGTTTGCTACACTTACAGATGCCGATACAGCTAGCGTATTCTTGGTTCTTGTAATGGCAGCGCCTGGAAATGCGTGTGCGATACCAATAGGAAAGACATGCTCTGCGATCGAGGTGAGTAGAAAACAATTATTTACCTATACAAGCCGCAGATAATAAAATACGTAATGTATCTAAATAGTCATTTAGGCCCAATGCAAAATGTTTCATGTGTCGCTCATTTACGCATAAACTGCAAATAGCCACAGTTTCCAGAATACTGTCATCTAGTGACCACAAATGCCTTTGACTGCATGAAAATTCATCTATTTAAATTGGACCATCATAACAACAATAATAAAAGCATATGTAGCATTCATCTTGAAGTTGGAGCAAATGCAAGGCAATAAAAAGCAAAGCAAATTATTGCAAATCGTACATTTTAGCCGCAGCCATAATGCATGTTGCATGTGTCGACACGACAATCAACTGCACAGCACGTTATTCCAACGGTATCACTCACATGTTGTTGTTGGTGTTGCTAATAGTTTAGCGAGTTTCGTATTTCGCTGGCAAATGGCTACATTTCTTTTTGTAAATTATTTTTTGCGGCTTTCCTACTATTAAATTTCATGTTTTCTCTCTCTTTTTCACGCTTTGCTTTTGTGTTGTTGTAGACTTAAATTAGTGTTGCATTCACGAATGCTGCTTGCGTGATGGTACATGTGAGAATAGCACACCTGATAAATATCCCTGCACTTGCACTGACTGAAGTTCTTTACGATGAACATTGCGAAAACGGGGAGCATCTGCATGCGGCGAAGGCATTGAAAAACGCTGGAAACTGTACACTCAAACTGAATAATAAACTTCTATAACTTAAAGTTGTCGTATTTCCAAGTGCGTTTGTGAAGAGATGTATTTACATACCTATGCCCAGAGGTTTGTATGTATGTACATTAGGGTGGTCCACATTTGTTTTCCTCCAGCTACTGCCTGACGTGAAGAATATCAAAAATATGTAGACGCGTATTTTTTATTTTGAGATATGTAGGTTAATATTTACCCGTGTTGCCGGGGCTTTGAAATTTCCTATGTAATATGCATGAAGAAAAAACAATTTTTTCGTAGAATTGCTATCAAATAGTTAAAAATAAATATTTTTTGATCGAATAAGACTATGCTCCCTCCGAAGTCTTAAAGAAATAACCATGATGCTTATTTAACTTAAACATTTTACTGAGTACTTTTTAACAACCGATAATTCTATCTGTTATATAAAAGAATTAGTTATTTTATGTTTTCATAATTACATCATGTGCGCAATTCAATGGATGTGTTTAATTTTTTTAGCATTTTGTTGATGTTTTCTGTAGGTTTTAGGTAAAAATTCTGAAAAACAGGTTTGGATGATGTTTGAAAATTTAAAATTATATAAAGTCAATATAATATCTTAACGCCCTATTCATAAAAAATAAAATAGATTTAAAGAGCTGTATAAAGTGACATATTCATATAAATTTTCTACTTATAAAGCAGTTAAAGTCTTCTTTATTTTTTATGAATTTGGGTGTAAGTTTATTAATCAAAACCAAAAGCGTTTGAAAATATTTAAATACATTTTTAAACTGGGTTGCCACCTTTCTTAAAAAATAGAAGAATGATTATTTAAAATTTAAGCTTATTGCCACCCATCTGTTAACTAAGAAGAGGTAATTATGTAAGTTAAGTGAAATGTGCAATATGCATTTTTGCACATTCGATAGTTTGATATGGTATCGATTTTGGTATAGATAAATGGCAACCCTATCCAAAAACATATGTGAATTAAAATATGTATTAAATTTTTTTTTTTGTGATTTTATAGCAATGCTACAAAAAAAAAGTATTTTCCCCATGTAAAATACATGGAAAACTTCAAGACCCCGTCGGACCTGTCTTGGGTCCGATCAATTCATTTTTTTTTTTGATTTATGTTAGAAAGAGTTTCCGTCATCACTTTTTTTGCTTAATTTTTCGTTTTTGCTAAAAATTTAAAATTTGTTTTCAATTGCATGTTACATTGCAGTTGTAATTCTTTTTGGGTGAAAAAATGACCTTTTTATCATATAACAGAGAAATTCTCCAGTCAACTTCAGAAAAATTTGGAGCCAGCACTTTCCCACTAACAAATAAACGTGGACGATGGTTCTTATATCTGTATTATACTAAGGTAAATAAACAATCCGACAAATGTAGAATTTCCAAAATGAGGTTTTGTTTAAACAAAACAATTAGGCAAAGACACCAAAATAAATTTATAACTTGTGAGGAAAATAAATGACAAACAATAAACAATTATCAATGAATCTGCTCCACATGTTTTTAATCTATAAAACTGTTATGGGGTAATTCGGAAAGAAATCTGCACTACCAAATGATACAACAAACGCTTTTATATTGTGCGATACTAAGGTATGAGGGCTACCGTTAAAAAAACAGTTGGTTGCGGCGAATCATCACTCGGGCTAAAAGGATAAATCCATTCAGGAGCAATAACCGATAAGTCAAAAATGATCGAATTGTGATTTCATATTTATTAAATAAATACGAATTTTCAATTATTGGTGAAAATATAATTTTTTTAATTAATACTCAAGCTTCGATATTTAAATTTTTTTTTGAAGACAGACATAAAACATAAAATGTTTCAACAGAAAACATGCCATTTCCTTTGGCTTTCAAAGAATAAACCAGTGCTGCGCCGGCAACTAAATATAATACCAATACCAACTGGTATATCTGGCATACCGGCGCGCGTCTGATGGTCACGGTAGAGTTATAACATGCGCGCGTATATGTTGGAAGTGGCGAAGGTGTAGCTAAGCCAGAAATAACCACATTCCTTCATAATGCAACTGCAACAAATTCACAACGTCATTGAGAAAGGCACGAGTAACCTGCGATATATTTTAGTGAATGCATGTGTGCCTGTGCGCCTGGAAGAACGAAATCATCATGCAAAATCAATAAGTGCCCAGTATCTACAAGTATATTGACTAGTTCGTTAGGACTCTACGATTGCCACCTAGGCGTTTGGATGGCGGCCAGAAGATTACGTCGTGCACATGCTCGGCATTACTTTGATTTATGTTTCATACATTTGAACGTATGGCCGTTTACTTTCTGCTATTTCTTCTTCTTATTCAGGTGGGTTTTCATCCTTTTGAATTACAGTTATTAGTCGCATTGACTTGAACGAACGGACTAGCGCGCAATCGAGCGACTAATCTGCAGCTGTGGCTGGTAATTGGAAAAAATGCACAAATACTTTAAGCAAAATAAAATGTAGACAGAGTATGGTTAGCAAGTATTTGTGCGTAATGAGTTTAGTGAAAAGCTCGTAATTGCGTCCGAGCTGGATACTGCAATTTGTGCACTGTCCAATATTATTAGTTCAGCGGCCACATTTGCCATATTATTGTCGCATTTATACAGGTTTTCGGTATGTGTGTTTGCATTGTTGCGGCGGAGTTTTTTTATTTATTTTTTTGTATCAAGCACATTTGAATTGTTAATAATTTGTGTTGCAATTACGTGCGTCTTCATGCCAAATTCCCAAGTGCTTTACTTTCACTCCATCAGCTCGTGTTCGCCTATAAACTGCAATGTTGCATGCCTCATTTACAACAAAAATGTACAACAATTCTAATAACACCTGCTGGCATTAGTAATCGCATGCTAATGGTTTGCGCTGATTTCATTTCTCTCGTTATTGGCAATCGAAATTTTATTACCTTTCGAAAGCAGAACTAAAGACTTAAGCAACAAACTTGCTTTTTCAATGAACAAAATTAGGCACTTCATTTCTATATCACAAGTGAATGTAGTCTGAAGTTTCTCATGAAAAATACACACACACAAAAAAAAAGTTTATTAGGATTAGACATGGAATAATCGCGCAGCTTGGGTATTCCGCGAGAGACGTATTTTCGAATGGAAGCAGTGATTACTTGACTTGCGTACTTTGATGGGTTAGAGCGGCCATTTGTGCGAAAACGCAAAGTTAAGGTATACACATGTAGGTATATAAACACTGCCTGCGCATACAAAATACTATAAAACGAACTACTTGCATGCGGCGTCTTATGACTAATTACCTGTTTTATATGCGAGCACAACTTTCTGTGGGTCGGTGACATTTTCCTGAGGCTGACGACAAACTCATACTTTATATCTAAAAGCTCATTATATGAAGTGTGATACACTACGTTGAGATGAGAAGAATGCAAATGTTTGTTAAGAATAATAAACAAGAAAATTCTGAATATGCACCTGCAGAGAATTTCTATATGAAACTAGATTTGCGGCGCCTGATAAGAACTTTTCCACTGGCTAAAGTTAAAATTCTTAGTTTAAATTGAAACGACTAAAGAGTTGAATCATTCTCAAACATAGGCTAAAAATAGTAGCGATGTGATACCATATCGAATACTAATCGCTTTCGATGGCATGAGTCTGTAAGATGATCTTATTTTCGCCGGTGAGATGTCTGCCAGGCGTGTGTATTTTTCTTCTATGATCTGGCAACTACACCATTGGTCCGATTCAACATCCAAGCCACTAAATGTCTTTATAAGGAAACTTAAAGGCACAGAAGTGCGTTTCCTGTTATAGGGGGGCCAAGAATACTCTCTGTTCCATAGGACGAAAACTTTTCCCGTACATTGGCCAAATCAGTCATTGGTATAAATACCGTATTCTTTCTTGAAAGTAAGTGGTGGAAGCTTTCCTTGCTAATTTTTACTTTTAAAACTCATTATTCAGCCGCCCAACTACATATGCATACTAATTTGATTCTAGAAATCTGCGCTGTTTGGATCAGGGATGTTCGACATCTTTTAGAACTGCCTGACTGCCACAGAAGAAAAATACTCGTTTTTTTCTCTAGGTCTTTGATCAATATTTCGTAATGCACCTTAAATGACAAATACTTATTCTTCTAGAGTATCTGAATGACCAGAGATTACCTTGAACCATTAACTAGTTTCTTTGAGTCTTATTGCTGTAATAACGGCCATCCCGAGCAATTAGATCAAGTGAAGGGAAATTGCAAGATTGCATTTTTGGTGTATGAGAGCATCAGGAAAAGCTGCGTTTTCCCGATTGCGCGCTCTTTCTATGAATACTTAAACCCATCCTTCATTTGGCCTCTGAAAAGTAAATTCTTTTAATACAACCATCGTTCCCAAGAAGACCAGCCATACGAAAGTTCTATATACATGTATTGCCTGCTGCGTCATCTATTATATTATAATAAAATTGTAATTAGAGTTAAAAACTTATATATTTTTCATTATGAAAAGAAACATTTCCGCATTACCGGCCAAGAACCCAATAATATTTTCAACATAAATGCTAACCGATGCCCTAAACACTCTTCTCTTTCTTTCTTAAGTCTTTCATTTCTCCTATTGTCCAGTTGAATGAGTCCTCACAAATTGAAATTGATCAAGTTCTTAATTTAAGAATGCGGCATAGACAAACTATTGTAAACACAGGGCTACTTAATATAAAAACCAATAAAGATAAACACCAAGAATACATTTCAACGACAGAAATAAAGAGGCTCCATAAAAGCCTACATACGATTTTCTCAAACAGATAAAAATGACTTTCTCTGAAAATACATACTTATATAAATATATGGCCATGGAAGCACTTTTGTCTAAGATTTTTTGTAACTACATAGAAGATTTCACGACTGCCACACCCTTCAAGCATCATACGAGCTCATATGCTCCATCTTTTCGTATGGGCGCCTATACATAATAAGTGCTTAGATGCATCTTAAAATACATTCATAAAAGTAAGAGCATACGCGTAGAGACAGAAGAAAACAATAAATTACATTGCTCTAACTCTATTCTAATAAAACAAAATCGCAGTAGTTAAACCGGGAAACAAAATCATTAATTCATTGCCTACTTAATTTGTCCTTTCTATTTGTCCTTTTCATCTTTTACCTTCCAGATGTTGGCGAGTGTGCTGGCGTTTCTTGTCAAGCTCTTGCATTGACCCAATCGAAGGCTTTTGCTGTGAATGTCCACTGGAGTGGGCAGGCGTGGTATGTCAAATGCTTGAGATGAATACGAGATCCACTACGCGACAACCAGCAATAATAATGACGCTGAAATGTAAGCTGAGGCGAGATTTGAATTTATTTATTGAATTTATTTATTTATTCTAAGGTAGTACAGTTTTTATTCAGCAGAGTGAACTGTTTCACTCGAATTGTTATCACGGGGCATACAAAACTAAATTAAATTAATTAGCAACTATAAAACTTCATTAATATAACTACATATATGGTGGGAGTAGCAATAAAATTTATTCAGTCTGCCTAAATACCTAATTATTAAATTTTTAGATGCTTCATGCTTCTTATGGTTAAAAATACGTATATATATTTTTTTCTGTTGTTTTTCAGGTCATAGCCGGAGGACCGACAGAAAATTGCACAGACTTCCACTTGTAATTTAATTAATTTATTTTTATTGCATAGTTTGCAAATAAATTTGGAAAGTATGATTTCATTTAATTCATATATTTATAATAAAATGTGTCATTTCGGCTGAAACAAAGCTATCTACATAATTTACTGTTAAATAAGTCTCCCTTGCAAATTTATTGAACATAAATTTCATCAAAATAAATTACAGCAAATAGTGACGTTTTCGTTTGTTGTTTACTCATTGGGGCCCAAAGAGCTTTATTTATAGCTAAGGATATTGAATTTATTATTTAAATATAAGCCGAAATAAAATGAAAAGTATCTTAAGCTACGACTGCGAGCGCTAACCCAAAATTTGTTTGTTCTAAAATCACAAAAAATTTGTTTAGTGGATAAAAGTAATGAATGAACTCCCAAGTATTACTCTAAACTACTACCTAGCGCCAAATTGGACAATGTGGTTATTCAAATCATTAACCGACGCTTTCGGAAGAGAGTAGTAGGCGAAACGTGAAATACGCAAGGTTTCCGAAAACTTAAAATAGGCCAATATAAGAGACGTTGGTACTTTGTGTTTGTATTGAAATTCGCACATATCATAGTAGTTAATAAATATTCAGAAATTTTAGAAAATGCATATAAAATAGATGGAAATAGTACAAGAGTAGGAAATGAACAAGAACAGCAAAATGCCAACAAATAGGAATTTAGCTTAGCAAAGCAGCTTGGAAAAAATTGCAAACTGAGTTAAAATGATATGTAAAAAAAAGTTACAAAACCCGTAAACTTTCATTTCATTAAGTACAATATATTTATCGGGTTCTTAAACTTTTAAGATGTTGGAACACTTGCAAAATACCTTTCATTTTATGAAACCCCACATAAAATTACCAAAAATCAAAGGCAGTTCAATTTAAATATAAATAAAATCTTTTACCAGAAATAGGTATGTATACTTAAATTTGAATGTGAAGAATGAAATTGTTTCACTGTTAATAATATATGTGACCTGGTCTACGGCTTAGGTGTCAAAAAATCAATTTTCACTTTTTGGTTGATTCGGATGGAAGATGAGATGCTTTTTCACGTTGTGAAAAGCAGAAAATCCTAACTTGCTTAGAAGTGTACTAAAAATGTAGAGAAAGATACAGTAAACGTCACTTCTTCAGTGTTACTTTTTTAAATGTTCCACACTAGCAACTTGCACGATGAACTATAATAATATTCCGACCAACAACAACACTTACAGGACCAACAACAACACTTACTGGACCAACAACAACACTTACTGGACGTCCAGCGCGGAGAACAATTAACGAGATAATGAGAAACTGACGAAACGAGTTGCTTACTTTTAACAGCTTTTTCACAGAAAACTAGTTTTCGCACGTAAGCTCCCTTTTCGTAGACCAGGTCACATATATATATATATATATATAATAGTAGTTCGATATAATGTCTGAAAGCTGTACGCGCATATCTGGATTAGCATCCAATTTCGACCTGAATTTGTTTTTCGTATAAGTGTAAGATGAGTACATTATGACAGAAAGAAGCAAAATTAAGATGACCTCTTTAGCGACTTCATGATATATACCCTTAACACTAAAATAAAACTGTTTCAAAAGACTCAAATGTGTGTTTCAATGTCGGAGTACTCTGTAGATCTATGAATGAATCGTAAATGGATTTTGTACAAAACCAATATTACTACTACCATCCGAAAAGTAATCTAACAAAGATTTCAGGTGATTTACCAAGTGTCCAGTTATGACATTTCACACTTCATTTGGCAATTCATTGCGTTCCATGTAGAAAGTTGTCTATAACCCTTTGGCTACAGCGACCAACAACACATACCGGGTAGAAAAAAACAAGCTTGCAAGCGCAAGCTCAACGCTTTTATGTAGGTATGGCACTCAGTACGGTAATCATACCAACTACGAGTACATAATTATGTATGTATACTTGAAAATAGATAATTGCGGCTCGGTCAAGGTGTTTGTAGATTTTTTCTTTCTATGTGCAATTCAAATCGAAGGCCGTGCTTATTCATACCAAAATTAATTTCGCACAACCCCGGTGGTTTTTCTATGGAACCCACTTTTGGAAGCTCTGCATTATATTATTCTAGAGTAAAACTATTTTTTGTATTTTTTTTCAGAGCGTATTCACTACATTACAAGTTTAAAATTTTTCGACGGATCGCTAAAGGTCGATGAAAATGTTCATCTCTGTAGCTTCCTTGAGCTAAAATTCAAGCTGAATTCTATTACTAGAGCTACCAAAAGAGATATGAAAAAACAATTTCTTTGTAATTTGTTGAAAATTGCAAGTTTTTCTAACGTTGTTTTTTCCATTGCGATGGCTGAGTGGAAGATCGACCCATCTCGGCTGCTGGTTCGAAACGAAATGGCTCAAGAATGACTCTTTCAGAATTTTGTTGGTTCAAAGCTTCCTAAGTATACCCCAAAAATATCTGTAAATAATTTCGAATTTCGGTTCGAAAATAAGTTTTAGAGGAAAGCGGATTCGAAGATTAGTTTTCCAAACTTAGAGAAAAAAAAATTAACTCAGATCTTTGGATCATGCATTTTTTGAACCGACTTCAAAAAAAGAGAAGGTTATCAATTAGTCGAAATACTTTTATTTTATATGTATTTTACCGCATAACTTTGGACCACGTCAACCGATTTCGATAATCCATTTTTTTATCGGAAAAATAGTATCTCACAGGTGGTGCCGTACTAATTTCGTTTAGATGCTATCATTGGATCATGAAAAAATTTACGGTATTTCTAAATTTGTATATAAGACTGGAAGTCGGTTGTGGTTTTTGCTTAAAAATTACTGTTTTTTCTCGAGAACACGATCTAGTAAAACTGAGTATGGGCAAAGTTTTTATGGCCAACAGCTATCAAACCTAATACATACGGACTCTACTTTTCTTTTTATTTTCATTTTTGTTCCACAGTGAAATACTTCCTAAGACATTCCTAAGAAGTCACTTTTGCTGTAGCTGCAAACGCTGCTGGCGTGGGTTGTCGTACACACTGTTTTGTATTGTATTAGATCATTCCACCCAAGCAAGATCTCATTTCTTTCCTTCACCGATTTTCATCACTTTTTTTGTGCATTTACTTAAATTACCTATCCACCAACACCTCAGGCAAACACAGCTCAAATGAAGATCTATATAGTAGTGTAGTGATAAAATTTTTGATGTTGATGGCATGAAACTCAGCATGTGGTTAATAAGCATAAAAAAATGGACAATACTTGGGCAAGTATTAAGATAAAACATTTTAAACACTTCCATTTCTTAATTTTACACTTACTAGTAGTTATCTGCTGGTTTTTCTTCATTATGCTTTTATTCGTTTGCGTATTGTATTCAAAGTTTCTTGAACAAATTAAGCCAGATTAACTCACATAATTGAGTTTTTTGTTCTCCTTCTTCTTGATTGGCGCTGTAACCGCCTAAGCGATTTTGGCCAAGTCCAATAAAGCACGTCAGTCATTTCCCTTTTGAAAATGCCAAGTGCTTCTCCGCGAGCATTGCAAAGTACCTTGAACACGTTCAGAGCTGGAGCTTTTCTGTCCATTAATACGACTTGACTTAGCCAGCGAAGCCCGTTAATTTTCCGCAGAATCTTTCTTTCGAGAACTCCAAGACCAGCGTCATCAGCTGTTGTCATTATCTATGCTTCTGCTCCTAAAATGACATGGGTGCTGAGACGTTTAGAGAAAATTCTGTAAAATTAAAACAAAAGACGAAAAGAATTTGAAAATGTCCTTTTAGATTTTATCCTTGAATACCCTTGAAAATTTTTAGTATTAGGTTTTGAGACAAAATAAATGCTAGAGATTACTATATAAACGACCATATTCTTGAATTTCGTCCTTCTAACTTTATTGGCTTAAAAAAGTGAAATTTATGTACAGGGAACAAAAATGTAAATTTTTCAAATTCTACAGAATTTTCTTTTGATTGGGTACTCATATTGTTATTTTATATTTCACTTAACTTTTTAAACAAGTTTTGTAATTAATCATATCTTTGAAATTACGAAGTCCTTTAAAAAATCCTGACGTCCGAAAGAAAAATTAAAAACGCTGTTTTACCACATTTGGCGCAACGTTTTGTTAATGTATTGTTTTGTGTCGCATGGTGTTACCTAACAAAAACTACACATTTATTTAAATCCAAAAAATTTAAAATTTAAATTTTGTTCAAAATTTATAAAAATTCTGCAAAATTTCATCTGAATTGCAAATATTTTATAAGAATTTTTAGAAAAAAAAATTTGTATGCATGCAGTTTTATAGCCCATTAGAGTGCAAGTTAGAAGACCGTGCTGATTTTTTGTTTTGTTGAGTGTCACGCATTTACTTCTTTAATGCCACCACAAATACGCTTTCCCATTCTTATGTCACACACATTTAACATCGACGATGTGTGAATTTGTAGCAAATTCGGGCAACTTCTGCGAGCACAGTAAGTAAAAAAAAAACATTATTAAGCATAAAACAGCTAAATTTGCAATTAAAATGTAAGAAACGACCAAACCACATCTTGGTGAACGCGTTGAGGGGAACAAAAGATTTAAGCAAGAAACCTGCACGCAGCTGTGCCCTTTATATTTTCTATGTATTTGTACTTTTACGCGAAATCGTACTTTCCAAACTAAAATCATCACAAGTAACTTCACAAGCAAACACACCCATAGAATAAGACATGATTCTAATATAAAAAACAAAAATTGATATGAGCGAATAAATAATCTTCAACACTTTCCCACAGTTTAAATAGAATAAAGTTTTAAATTGAAAAGTGAGTGGTCATTTATGTATGTAGTAGTAAATTCATAGCTGTAGGAAAAGTAGATTCATACGAAAGGTTTAAATGTATTTTTAGAATTTTATACCACAACAGAAATGGAAGAGAGATAAATGGGTTAGGTTACACTGAGGGGAAAAATATTAAAATCAATCAGAAACGTAATTGGTCTTACTACTCTGATGATTGCTTACTCTGTTTATCTGCAGGAGATTCCCAATAATAATACCCAATTGTTTATTTAACCAATTTTT